AAACCTCGTGCATTTATTGCCAATAGGGGTTGTATTAATGATGTTGGCTGTGAAATGAAAATTTCGATATGGACGCCCGACCTTTTTAAAGGCGTCACCCGCCAGCATCTCGTCACAGCAACCATTTGAACACATCAGGCGTGATCGTCCACTCCCGAACAGATATGTTATCATCACACCCATGTGCCAATGTTATACCCAAAACCTGTCAAGAGCAGTCGATAAGAGAAGTGAAACCATTCTCGTGAATGAAAGTGAATATTTATAGCTTCAAGATTATTTTATTTGCAAAACTGAAATGGCCGCTAATCTACAATGGCAACGTCAAACCTCCATAAGCTAATACAATATGAACATAATGTAATCATGCATATTTATAAACTGGTCTTCATGTCCATCTGCATCAGTAAAGAAAACATTATCTGACATTCATATCTATGTAATTTAGGTGATATTCTTAACACTTGCCCATTTATATCTAGGTCGTTGGACAGCATTCATGGCCTTCACACATTGTGCCCATGTGGGGATTCAACAAAGATTCAACACAAGCTATTAAATTCCAGGTTACACAACATATGATCCTGGAATTTACTCTTTGGCATCCAACCATCACGGGATCACATGTACAAAATCCTACATATAATGTCAACAACATGTGTTCATATTGGAATTTGAACCCAGTTACCCTGAGCGCAAGAAACCATTAAACTATGATCTTATTCTGACAATACTGGTTTGCTGTTGATATACCGATCCCAAATCGGTCCTTATAGCAGACATCCATCAACATCTTACATTACCTACAGCAAACATAGCAAAATACATGTTCTTTTCATTATTCTCATTGGTTGACTAATAGATCTTCCAAGGAAACTACACATTCATCTTTTCATAAGGTTTTTTCCTGTGAGATGCTCTCATCATCTTTGTCATCGACAGACTCTTTCGTTTCATATGGGTCTTCCTGTAAGATGTCCTCCGCTTCGTTGTCATCGATGACAGCATACTCTGCATTGTCTTCCTCATCCTCCAGACTCCCCCGGTCAAGGGTCATGTCTTCAGGGACTGGTTGGATGTATGACGTAACATGACGGCGTGTATCGAGTGTTCCGAAGTCACCAAGACGTGTGTGGCCATCTGGATATCCGCTTGGTCTCACCGATTCAAGGGCCCCAGTTTCAGTTGCTGGGAGGGCGTTGGATGCCTCATCACAGTGTGTGTCGGGTGATCCTAGGAAGCGAAGACTTGTGTAACCATCAGGAGATACGCTTGCCCCCTGGAGATTTCCTGTCATTGCACCTGGTGGTTGGGGGTTGGATGGCACGTCCATCACAAATGAGTCGAGCTGAATGTCGTCTCTACATTGTTCCGTCTTGTTCCTGGAAATAAGAAATATAATGAATGTTGACGTAAATGCTAAATATCCAAACAAACTCCTAGTATATTGCAACTGAGCATCTAGATATCTGAAGTTGGATTTAGCAGCTTACTGTTTCGGCCTGAAACTGTTTATAGTACATGTGTATTTTCCTAATCATTTCTCGAACAGTGTGTATATTTCAAAGCAATTTCCGTTCAAGTTGTCGGGTCATAATGTATGCCTTGAGGAAAAGTATTTAGTCCGATTGCTAGAATGTACGTTCTTCGGAGTGGCTGTCGTCCTTGATACCTCTCCCAATACAAGGCAGTATGTTTAATTAATGAGTTCGCCATGTACCACTTACGATCTTCTCCAGATGCAGAAAGCCACGAGAAGTAGTACAGACATCAGGACAAGTCCTACAGGAGGTAGAATGGCCGACACATATTGGTTTGTGTCCCAGTCGTCATGTGGACTCTGAAACACGCCCATATTGACCTGTAGTAATCTGAAATCGTCTCTTCCAAGTATGTTTTACCATACATACGCGAGAATAAGATTGCAGTGTGCTTTTAAAGCTTAAGTTTAGTAGCATTAGCTCCAAGGAACCTTTACTTCTTGGCAAGCGTGACAACGTTCATCACTGACTCGACAGCTTGAGACTGTCGTCATATGGCTGGACTATGGCTGAATGACGCGTTCACAAATGACAAAAACAATACAATAAACATGCGTAACTGGTAAGAAAATAGTTTCAAGCAACCTTCCTCTTAATACAGACAGCATACATCACTGCCCCGAGGGCAAGAGACCGCCGAATATTGCTGAATGTAGCGTTACACACATCCAACAAACATGCAAAGGCAACAAATGATATATCAGGTACCGTACTATAGCCAATAATGTTATTACATTGTTACACAAACAGTAATAAGACATCGGCCACCACTGTTGGCACCATAGGGGTCACCTTCAAGGTTGCCTTCTCTTCTTTTCGGGGAGGGTACAACGGAAGAGGCAGATATTCATTGATGATTTCATCGGGGTTGGATTCGAAGATTCTAGCTAATGAATCACTGTCTAGAAAGGATCCGTTTTCCACAGCAGAGTAGAGTTGTACGTGCGTAGTAGTATAACTGAAAGGTACACGAAACACAAACTTGTTAATGATTTTTACCTTAACTGCACGACGGGAGATTTAAATATCAAAGTCATTGTAGAGTCAAGTGGTCTTGTACTGGCCAACATCATTCTGCTTGTGACTTACTTGTTTTCTCTCTGTGCCTTGGTTGTAAATATGACAGCCACCTTTCCTGGAATTCCCTCGAGTTCCGTGTGATGAGTCTGTTGAAGCCATCAGCCAGGTCACCTCTACTTTGTATGATCAATCTCACCAAGGAGTGTAATGTTGATAATATCTGAGTGCAAAGTAAAAAAATAAAAATTCATTTATAAAAAATCACAAATTGACGACCAAAAGAACGGATGAAATGATAATTTACAAGATGTTTACTGGCTAAATTGTCAAATGAAATGTGTTCACGTTCATGATCAAAAGGGTGGTGGGAGTAGCCTAGTGGTTTCCTCGATCGCTCGTCACGCCGAAGACGGGTTCGAAATAGTTTTGAAATATAGCTAAAAGCGACGTAAAATTAAACTCACTCGCACACTCATCATCAACAGATTTTTTTGTCACACAAAAAGCACACGGCATACATCTGACTCAGTACCCTGGCAGGATACAGCAACCAGTCTGTTTTCTCCAGAATGAAAATCAAACACATGTCACCTTTGAGTTATGTTGATATCGCCCGTTGTCTTCATTGTTCGCATATTGTAACGTAAATTCTTGTGACAGTGAGTGGCAAAGTGACTTAGGCGACCGTATAATATACGTAACCTCCCTTGGATGTGTGTGTGGTCACACACCATCCCAGCAGCTGACGGCTGTGCTGAAGTACCTGTGTGATGTGCCCCTTTCTAGGGAATGTGTGAGACCCCTAATTCAAGACGTTAATGTTCGAAAAGTACTGGACATCAGTGATTGCTGTAACTTCTTAATTATTGTCTGATATATTCATTTTGATGCTGCCAAGTATTTCTCACGAATTTTGCTGTATTGTATTACGTAAACGTCGTATGTCGTTCAAAATAAACTAACGGGCAAAAGCAACGATACCAAAATTTAATTTGGACTCGAAATCAACTTTGGTAAGTAGTTATGAGCTTAAAATAATCACCACAACGCTTCCCTAACATCTGTTATGAAACATGTTGTGTTTGGGCGAACAGTATCACTGCAACGGGTCGTGAAACACGAAAATCTCGTGAACGGATTGCATGAAGCACGTGCATCTTTGGAGTATAACAGTGCACACAAACCTTCCTCAACATCAGATCTTCAAGTCAACTTCAGCGACCATGACTCGATTATCGCAGGAATCCAGAGAGAGCTATTGGAATGGCACAGATGGGTGCCACTCATGCACATGTTGCAGCGACCTTGGGCAGTACACGTCTAACCATCACGAGGCTGATGACCCGCTACCTGAGAAACCATTTCTTACCTGTGACGTCATCAGCAGCGACTGGGCTTGGACATCCTATCAGTTAAAGAACAGCAGCATGACAACTCAGACAATACGGTATCCGCGCCTACAGACCCTACCGTGGTCTGCGATGGGCACACACGGTTCGCCAGTGGCAAAACATACAGTGGCAGAGAGTGGTGTTCTAAGGTGAAAGCAGGTTCCAGCTGTTCAGGAATGATGGCAGGGCTCGTGTCAACAGACGCCGTGGAGAACGTGTGCAACGTTGTTGTGTACAGGAAGTGGCGTTTGGTGTCATGGTTTGGGGCGGCATATGTTACGATATGAAGACAGATCTTGTTGTGGCGGATGGTAATCTCACTGCTCAACGATGCATTGATCAAATTCTGTGTCCGGTTGCGCTACCATTCCTACGTCAACGCCGTAACCGGATCATGTTCCAGGACAACGCTGTTGCTCATACAGCACGTATTGTCATTTCTACAGAGAAACAACGTCAATGTGCCTCTTGACATGTCACCAATTGAACACTTGTGGGACCATATGGATCGTCAGATTCGTGCTAGAGCCCTTGTTCCTGGAAACCGACGTCAGCTTGATTAGCTCTTCAAGAGGAATGGCGAAGGATCCCTGCCGAAGGTATACGGCGTCTGACGTTCTTAACACATCGTAGTTAGAGCTTGCATTGATGCCCACGGTGGACATACCAGATACTGACCACGTGTGTTGGTTTGTTTACATCTGTGATCGAATACTGGACACTTCATTCCTTCATTTATACAGTGATTGAATGTACTTGTTATTGTTTCTACTCCAATTACATGACTGAGTGCATGTTGTCCATACAACTGCTATTAAAGTCACTGTCCTTTTTCACAAAGGACGTGCCTGTCGTTTTGTAATATCAGTGATTTCGACTTGGTATCGTTTCTTTTGCCCGGTAGTTTATTTTGTTAATTGTTAGATGATCTTCTGGTGTTATTTACTGATTTCACAAATTAATTCCAAACTATATATATTAGAATTAAAACACTATAATAACATACATGAATTTAAGGGAAGTGTATAGAAGAAACTATCTCACTCACCAACCCTTTGGTTGCATCTCTCCCCTACCCAAGGAAAATCACAGTCACACTTGAACCGAGCTGCCGTCGATAGATCCGGTGTACACTGGCCCATTTTACAAGGGGAGCTGTCACAGAAATTAACCTTATCTGCACATGTATCTCCAGTCCACTCAACTGGGCATGCGCACTTGAAGTCCGATTCGTTTCCGTCACACGTCCCTCCGTTCAGACAAGGCTCCAGTGCACACTGGTTGATGATGTTTTCACATAGTTTTCCTAAACAAATTTTAGAAATTATGTAGCAAAAAAAACCCCATCAATGAACAGATATTTTTACACGACTTGTAAGCAATTTACAGATCTCTTGCCATCGGTTACTGTTGGATTTAACCCTTTTTACCGTTTACCGACGGTCCGATATCTCGCTGGATAATGACTGTCAGATGTACATCTGAATATGTAAATGGCTCACCAGTGATTCAATAATCACTTTAACACTTAAAACAGTCACTTTAAATAGTGACGACTGGATAACCGAGTTTCAATGTATACTTTGCCCACACTTTACAGTGGAAGGATCGTTATACAATACAGGACAAAAACCTCTGTCATAACTGGGAAATTTAGTCCATAGCCCAGTATAGAACAATCGACAATTGTATTTGTGTCTGATCGAAACTCAATGGCGGATACGTGATTAGCCGGGAGATTTGATTCATCAATTTCGAGCATCCATTTCTAATAACACAAACTTTGTTCAATTAAAAGTAACGTGTCAATTGGTCTTTCTCAAGCTTGTTAAGGTCTAAAAAATAGTTCACAACAACGCTCACACCAGCTTTCCGAGCATACCTTCAAAACACGTTTTAGCTCCTGTATGGGGTGGCAAGTGTAGTGACTGTGGTCAGGAGTGGCCTTGCAATATTTCTCACACGCAGACCCGTACCAGTCCGGGTCACAGTAGGCTCGGACTGCAATCTTTAACCTGGAAAATAATTCACTCTGCATTTTTCAGGAGAAATATATGAGGAGAAATATATGATCAGGTGGTTAGGCTTCCTGCTTGCTTGACACCTATCACCGTATCCCATTTGCTTAGATCGATCCCCTTGCTGTTGATCACTGATTCAGTGGATTGTCTTGCTGCTTTACAGACTACCGCAACATAACTGGAATATAACTGAGTGCAGCGTTAAAAGAACAAACACACACTATGACAGTCAATCCTTAACGTTGAAAATAATTTACTCTACATTTTTCACTTAAGAGGCGACTAACGGGACCGGGTGGAGAGACTCCAGATTCGATTATTTACAGACCACCACCACATAGCTGGAATATTGCTGAGTGCTGCGTTAAACGACAAACTAACAAAATACAAACACTTTTCACTTTGAGTGCCTTGAGCACCTTGATCAAGCAATTATTACATGTAAACATTGAATGCTGGTCAAAAGCTTACATTGGCATTATGTTGGTGCGAGACAGATGATCATTCACAACATAATGTTTTGACGTAAACTCATTATTTTGAAGTATTTATGAACAAAGAACATGAAAGAATATCCCATCTTGTTTTGTTCCAGCCCTCCAACCCAACTCTCTGGAATCATCACAGATATGTTCTAATCTGACTCACGTCGACCACCTCGACAATGTGTATGAGTTGTACACAGCTGTCTGTTCTGTAGCAGCAGCTCGGATGTTGATCAGCTTGGACAGGGTGTCCATGTGGTCATCACCGGAGATGTCATCGTTGTCATACACCTCCACCGTTATTTCTATCGAGGACTGAATAAAAGACAATGCATATAATCTGTTTAGTTAAGTTAGTTAAGTGTAGCTGAATCAATAAAAAGACACACATATCGATTTACTTTCTGTTTGTTGTCAAACATCGAAGTTATTGCTTGTAAATAATCGAGGCTGGACAAGACGAGCCAGACGTTGATGCCCTGATTCGCCATCAGGATGCAATGACCTGTTGTCATGCTGAGCTTTAGCTGAGTGATCCGATTTCACGAGCACTGTGTTAGCTAGTTTCCTGATCAACACCAACAGGATGGTTTAGGTTTGTTTGACTTATGACGTAATCTGATATGTACCCTTCTGTGTGAAATATTGATTTAGATAACAGTTCTACCGGTGCTGCATTGTCCACTGGTATGACGAAAGGATTTGCAGTTCCTTGAATGCTGCTTCCAAACTGAATTACGTTTTGGTTGCCTACATATTTTGTAGTCCTCTTGTAAACAGAGCACGGCTGTCTTCCTTCAGGGCTGGAATAATATGAGCATATTGTATTACACCATCATACCTACAGGTAACAAAGCGCTGCATTGAAAACACACACTTTTGTATCGCTGCATATGTCGCCAGAATGAATGATGTATGGAAGGTAGGAATTCATTCTTTTGATAAATAGCTCCAAATGAGTGAGTGAGTGAGTGAGTTTAGTTTTACACCGCTTTTAGCAATATTCCGGAAATGGGCTTCACACTTTGTGCCCGTGGGGAATCGAACCCGGATCTTCAGCGTGACGAGCGAACGCTTTAACCACTAGGCTACCCCACCACCCCAGCTCCAAATGTACACACCAAATGTACACACCAATGGTTACAAAGACAGACATACGTGACATAGCACAATGCAGGCGATTTTAAAAACCATGAATATTGCTTTGGCATACTTTTATTACTAATACGTTGTTGTTACACTCCAAAATATACAGGGAAATACACAAATTATTTTCACCAGCCTAAGAAATACAAAACTGGCAGGAACTGAACATATTTAGCTCGTGTGTTTTCTCAATAAACCTTTTTATTGTACCTACCCAGCAATACCAATACACAGGGTAAACATTGGATCACACTTATCAGTGCACCATGTCCAATCCTCACTGTCACAACAGTATCCACTGCTTTCCTGCCATCCGACCAGTAACTGATGAATCGAATGTCCAGTTTACCGTCAGTCTTCACACGCTGTAAATCATGAAGATAGATTCGAACAAACAGTTATTACGATCTGTTTCACGGTACACTCACCAATGACCTGTGAATAACTGAGTCTGGACCACAGATACCAGAGATAGACATGCTAGATATGATCACACTAATACTCAGCCCTACCTTTATATAATCACCTCGTCCCCATTATTCCATGCCATCAGAAATTCAATTTGTTTACGATTAGTTCAAGGAACTAGCAGAAACCTTATTTCATTATTATTTAAATGAAGCGGCAATCGTGTGGGACATGGGTGGAAGGTTTAAAGCCGGAAATACACTGGATACCTTTTGTACAAAGACATGCTCTCAGATACGAGAAGGAAATGTTTTTCTATAAAGGAACACTTAAAATATATTGTCACCTCATAACGATGCTATCACATAACATGACATGGAGCTTTCAAAGTCAAATGCTAACGCGATAGGATACGATGTGTGCCCAATGTAGCACTAACTGAAGAGAGTGGTTTTGATGTGATGGTGGATAGGGCCGACAACAAGGTTTCTAATTCTGCTAATTACGTTTCCATTTCCTGTCAGTTTTAACCATTTTTTTTCAATTGATGGCAAACAGTGTTTCACAACTATAGTCCTGAAATGCATCTGCCCACTGAGGATTACATTCATTAATCGACCCTGGCGCAAGTTATATGTCTCGGGCCAGTAGGCTGGCGTAAATGTTATAGGTATTCGGCTTTTAAAAATTTGTGGAACGTGTATTTGGTACACCGTGTTCAGGAAACCCGTGATTGTCATTTATAGACAGATGAAGATAAGATTAGTGATTTTACACAAAATCTTCATTACTTCAGACATTCCTCGCGAACACCTGGTATCATCACTATTTGATTCATAAATACATACTTAGTCATCATATCTGATAGTGTCAACTCGATTGTTTACAGACTGCATCGTACCTATATGTACCACTGCTGAATGTGGCGTCAAACAAACACATACTCATTGTACAGAATTGTACAATCGACTCTACTTTTTAGCAGAGATTTCTTATGGATGTGGAAAGGATATTGTTGCTTTTATTTAATGCGATTGGACTATAGATTTTTTCTTGTAACATTTTATCAGACACTTGACGAAAGTCGAAAGGGTTTTAGCGTCTCTATCACACATTAAGCTGATAACTAAGGTTATAAAAGACAACTCACAGCGGGATTGACTCTAACATCCATCAGGAACCTTGTTAAGATTGTTTTCCATGTTGCCAGAGGCATGGCGATATAACCAAAGCAGAATTACATTGACTGTTCGTACTTTCGACCATGTATCTACACGCACTGTATAACAATATCTGATGACACTTTGAGTCATCATTCATTAACATTCCGCCCGGAGAGCGGAAGGTCGCGGAGTTCGATCCCCGACCGCGTCATACCAAAAAAGACGTTAAAATATGGTACTTGTTGGTCCTGCCTGGCGCTCGGCATTAATGGGTACAACAAGGACTGGTCGGCTCGGAGTCAGTATAATGTGTCTGAGTGGGGTATTCATGCTTCACTGTGGTATGCTATCTCAGTGGGCTAGCACTATAAAAACCAGCTTAAGTCTGGCTAGTACAAGCAGCCGCACATACACATACACGCATGCATCGTCGTCATATGAGCGAAATGTTCTCAAGCACGACGTTAAACCCAATTTCACCTCACCTCATTAACAGTTAAACTGGCACTTATGCAATATGATAATACCACAGCGATTATCAGAGTAGGATCAGTTCACACCAAGTTTTGGAACACAACTTACTTGCGTATATTTGAAGAAGTGTAATGAAAGAAACTCCACGTATGAATATTGAATACGTTTCATTTAAGGCTACACAAATTGATATATTGTATAAACTCAGTAAAGGAAAGAACTTGAAAGAACTGCACTAACAAAAAGTACAGCTGAACAGATTATTGCAGGCTTAGCCTATCAGTAAATGTTTCACAAGACGAATATATTCACACCATGATATATCTGATTTCGATCCTCTGATTAGTCCATGGAGTTAGCTGGTCATTGGGCCATTTTGGGAGATGTATTACATGCCTACCTTGATTGTCAACAGCCAGAGAAGTACGGTCACAAACAAACGTCTTTCCCTTTGTCTTTATCTTCTAATTGGTATCGCTTACACTTGTGTCCTAGGTGGCTGATGCATATCGGATGGCAAACGCCTTATTTAACTGTCTGGTTTTATCCAATGGCCATAACAGTCCTATTAACTCCAGAGGCACAAAGCGAG